TTTGCATGGCGCTCTGGGTACAGATCCTGAACTCAGAATGTTGAACGCTCTTGCGGCAGCGGTGGCTTCCTGTTGTTGAACGAGGTCATCTCCCTGTAAGCGCGCATGTTGGTGGGGTTTTCACAGCATAGGGCGCGGAGACGGCACACGTACATTCTGACCTCGACGAGGACATGCTCAATGCTGCTCTTACGCGACCACGATGACAGGAATGGATCTTGCATGGGCCTGACGAGCGGGAGGTCCGCGCACGCGAGGAATCGTATCTCTGGCGGGGCGTCTGGGTACTACAGTACGAGGAGTCGCTAGAGGTGATCTTGAGGCTGTAAATGCGCTTCTAGTGAAATTTCTGCGGGTCTACAACGAATTAGAACAGGGGAGGGTCGAGAGGGGGAGGTTGCAGACTTACGTGCCCTGCGCCGATGAAGGTGCTGTGCCAGTGTCGCATGAGGATGTTGTCGCCGTCTTCGAGGGCATAGGAACACGATCTGTCGCCGATGTCCTTCTCGAGCTCCTATCGCAGGAGCCCAGCATGCTCAAGAAGGGTCTTGCTCCGTCGGAAACTGCAGCTTTCTCTACGCCTCATCACAGCTCGACCTCATCGTCAGCACATGCCTTTCCAAACCATCCAATTTCTAATATAGAAACGTTCAGCATCCGCACCTAGAACAGGTAGTGGTGAGGCTTTGGCGTACATCGATCGAATGTATAAATTCTAGCACGGGGGCATCGTCGCGCATGGTGGCCCACCAGTCGCCGTCCTGCTAGAAGAAGCCGGCACGCGCAGGGAAACACCACTAGTAGATACGAACGCGCATGCTATCAGTAAGAGTGGAAAAACCCCGAAAAAAAAGAATGACGACACCAGCTCCTCAAGTTTCGACGACGTGGACATCCGGTGAGGATCTTGACGTTCGACAAAGTGCTCGGCCCTCGGTCGCGATAGCTGTCGATCGCTGCGTTGGCTGGGCGCCCGTGGGATGGCGGACTTGTCCAAGAGGCCAGGACTGGGTGTGGGATGGGGAAAGGAGGGTCGAGGCATGGCTGCGATCGATGGGGATGGCGCTGGGGACAGAGGGCTTGCCGGGTTTGACGGAGCGACCGTATGAGGGTAGATGGCGTGCCAGGTACACGAGTTGTTGAGATCCTGTCCAGTGACGCGACGAGAGGGTCGGAACGTGGTAACTGCTTCGACTCAGCGGCCAGTAGCAGCAGACCTTGGGGTGTGAGCTGGAGGTAGGAAGCTATTGGATGAGTATTCTGGTACAGGGAGATACACGATACCAGATTATCAGTTGTCCAAGTCAATGTCTATACGAAATACAAGAATACACTGTAATCATCACAAAGTTTCGTCATCTCATAATTACCATTTTACGCTTCTCAAGTCCTAGCACCCCCCTCGGATTCTAATCCAAATCCCTAAACCGTATCCTTCTCCAACGTACTCGACTTCTCAAAGCTGCCCTTATCAATCGACCCCCGCTCTCGTTCGTGGCGCGCAAGCCCAAGATCCGACTCGCCGACCTTATCCGCCGGGTCGCGGTAGCTCGGGACAAAGTTGACCGCGAGCGTGTAGGTGTATGCGAGTACAAAGAACGCAGCGGGGACAACCATGGCGAAGGCGGTGCTGTTTTTCGCGTCTGCGACGCGTGCGAGGATGGGCGGGACCTGTGGTGTTGGTATGTTAGTGCATATACTCAGATGGTAGACGAAGGTGGGACTTACGCATGCACCGCCGACGACACCGCCTACGATCCACCCTGCACCCCTCTGATAATCGAACGTATCATCAGCCACTATTGCAAACCAACGCTGAGCGGCGCACGTACCTTGGTATGCCTCCCGATCCCACGAATACCCAGCGCAACGATGGTCGGGAAACACACGCTCTCGAAGAACAGCGTCATGCTGAGCATCGCGAGCCCCGCGTTCCCGCGCTGCGTGATGCTCGCGCAACAGAAGGCGATGACGCCGGACATGTAGATGAGGAAGATTATGCGCGGTTTGATGAAGCGCATCAGGACTGTTGGTGGTAAGTGTCAGCGGGACTGGAGGGCTGGAGGAAACGGGAAGCAGGAAACGCAAGACATACCGGCGCCGCTGAACCGCCCGACGGCGAAACATCCTTGTGCGATGGCGAGAAATTTGGCGCCGAGTGCGGACGAGGTGTCGCCTCGTACTTCGGTCACGTAGTTGATGAAGTACCCTGCGATTGCAACTGTGGTGCAAAATGTTAGATAGAAATCCAGAGGGAGGGACATAGATATTTGGGTCGAACCTTGTGCTCCGCAGTAGCAGAATTGCGCAAAGGTGGCGTGGAAGACGCGATATTGCTTCCAGAAGGAGCGCTCGCCCTCTTGTTTGCCGACGTGGGTGAGTTCAGCCTGCTGCGCCATGTCCGCGTCTATATAGAAAGAAAAAAAAGAGCGAAGGAACAGATTAATCAACTTTATATGATAGTAGTACATTGCGCAACGTACCAGTGACCTCAGGGATGACGGCCAGGTAGAAAACGCCCGCTAGGATGAAAACGAAGATGGCTATGGCGAGATATACCCACTGTACAGTCTTGAGAGAATCTACACTGTCGCCCGTTTCTTTAAAGAAGACATAAGAGCCCAGCACGGGTCCAACGACGGTGCCAGATGCCTGAATAGCCTGCGCAAGGTTGATACGAAGCTCAGCGTATCGCGGGGGGCCCGTGACTGCGCAGGCATATCAGCATAACCATATTTACGAGGCAAAAGTACAGATACTTACCAGCCATGTACGGATTCGCCGCAGTCTCAAGCGTACCCAGCCCGCTACCGATGACAAACGTCGCGCCGCAGAAGCCGCCAAAGCTGCGTTTGAGGCCGGCGGGCCACATCATGAGCGCACCGATGCCGTAGAGCATGAGCCCCATGATGAAGGTCGCGCGGTAGCCGTACCGGCGGAGGACCCAGTTGGCGTAGCCGAGCGAGGCGAGCGGGTAGGCGCCGAAGTAGGCGGCTTGGAGGCCTGAGGAGCGGGTCCGTGTGATACCGAGGGTGTTTTGGAAGTGTTTGTTGAGCGTGTCGAGGAGGCCGTATGCGAAGCCCTGTTTTGATGTCAATGTCAGCGTGGTTGGAGACCAGAGGTATGAGGTAGGGTCGACGCACCCAGAGGAAGTAGAGGATCGTTACGAGGAAGAGAGGGAATATCGTTTCGCGCAGCGTCAGACCAGCGGCATTGGTGATCCTATCGCCGACCTTGAGCGAGTGCCTCTTGAAAAAGTTCTTCTCTCTTGGCTGGGACATTTTCGAAGAGCAGCTTCAAGAAAGCGCTTGCGAGTGGCCCATGAAGTTCCAATAGGCTCGTCTTATGTACCGTGGACCTCGGCCCGCTGTGGGGGAGTAAGGAGGGACAGAACGAAGGGTCCTCGGTGATATCACATCACCAGGTTGTGGAGAACCGGGTGTATGGCGAGTCACCAGACTCCAGTGTGACATGTAGCCGCTGAAGATTTCCTAGAAATTGTCAAGAAGCGTAGTCAGCAGGTATGTGCTTTCAACAAGAGCTTCTTCGAATTGGTAGCCTACATTTGCGGTATTCGATCTCCAGTTCGAGGCGTCCGAGTGAGATGAGGGCAAGATGAGGGTACAGAAACAGGTTGGATCAGTGTAATGCAAAGGGTTTTGCCAAACACACTCTAGGATCGATCTTCCGAACCGACGCTTCGCTTATCTCTGCGAACTTGAATTTCTCCAGATTCCTCATGGCCGGGACCTGATCTTGGTTGTAAAGGCTCCACGATTCTATAGAAATTGAACGGCGCCCTGGTATCTAGACAAAACCCAATCGTGGCCATCTACGAACAAAAACTAGGAGCTCTTGCCTCTTCACTTCTTAGGAATTCCGAATCAGATCCCGCTTCTGTAGCCTCGAGATTTTCGTTCACGCGTATTGCGGGGACACTGCGGCGCAACGGGATCACGCTGGATTTTAAGCCCTGGTTGAAGCTGATTCGCGCATGACGCTAGAGCGAGATGGCATTTACGACTGGACGATAAGTACATACTTCAAAATAGTCCCTCTATGAATACGTTATTCCACTGGAACAGGTTTTACAAGGCCGTTGTGTCGCACACGGTCGCACATGGCACCTGGTCATCCCACGGCTACTCAATTAAAGACTGTCTGTACAATCAGCTATCGCCGCATGACAGCGCTAGGCACAAGTCAATCTCTCGGCCGACTATAGAGCCGACAGTGTCTAATGGTAACGGCTAAGTCACTACAGTATACGCGACTCTCTACGGCAGTTCTGTAGTATTCTGCATTGTGCTTGCGTGCTCCCAATCCGTGTTTCACAGCCGAAAAACGCCCTGAGAAGCCTTCGCGAATATTCCAACATGATTTTTTGTTATCTCTGGTCGAATATCAGAACAATCGTTCCTCGACGCTGACTGGTCCCAACCTCAATAAAGCCACCCGCTTCTACGATAAGGCTCTGATTTACAACTGGAGAAATCTCCCCAACGACTTTGACAGCGGCTTATTACCGACAAACTGATTGTGCCACCAACCCCACAATTGTCACCCGTCAATCGCGCGTCTTCCTCCGTGTCGGAGTCGCTAAGTAGTAAAAACCGCACACGGCGTTTGAGAACTTGATCGATCTGTGTGGCTACGACTGTGACTTAGAGGGTGGGGTGGGCCTTGGGGCGTTCCTGATTACGGCTGCGTGGGCCGTGGCTGTTCGCGTCTGTTTGCGTGTGAACGTTGGCCTGCTGAGCAGCTGGGGATTGGGCCTTGGGCCTTGCGATTGGCGGAATCGTGCTTGATAGTGCCGGTGCGCGCTATTACTAGTAGCTACCCAGTAGTACCCATGATCCAGTTCTATCTGAGAACAAAGTCAGTGATGAGCGTGTTTTCTACCTCGTACAATCAAATAAAATGAATCCAGATACTTGTAGGTGAAAAAAAATTATATACCTTCGAACAAAAGAAAAAATTAAAAAGCCATTTACATACAACGACGCCAGCAGGATTTGAACCTGCGCCCTCAAAGAGGAACAGATGGAAATAATCATGGTAACGGAGCCGCACATATTCGAATCTGTCGCCGTAACCACTTGGCTATAGCGCCCTATCCATCAGTAATCTACAGCACCGCAGGAACTCGCGGGGTCGAGGAACTGGTCTTTTTTATAGAACATCCTCTGGGCGGAATTTTCGTGGGTGACGTCATGCATATCGAATCGTAACTTCTCCCGATGCCAACTTGTCCACTGACCACCATGGCTGCCAGCTGTATCTCGTACCCGTACCACGCACGGAGCGAGCGCTGGGACCCTATTTCTATCGAGATTCGAGGCGCACCGAGTTGAGTTTTTCCACAAGAATTCGACGCCAATACATTCATTTTGACGGCTCAGCGCAACGAGGAGAAGCTACTCATATAATATGGCGCATATAATCAGGTTTCGAACACTGGGCCCACACGTTGATCTGGATTCTAGATCTGCACGCGTGAGTACCCTCGCCCACGTTCACCGACTCTACCAGCGGCGGCATCCAGATATAGGCGCATACCTCTTCGATCTTCATGTTTCAAGCTTCAGGACTCATCTACTGCTTCCATACGGCGGAGAGAAGCCGATCCCCATTCCTAAATATATGTGCATGCCAGTGAACTTTGTACGTACCACAGCGTGGTGATGTCGTTTGACGCTGACATGACATTCGATCAGTGGCGTATCCTGACTTGAATTGAATAAGGTCAGACGATGCCGTCGCGTAGACCGGTAACCGGCTCGATAACTTGCCCTTATTACACCGAATTGCATCGAGTCTAACCATGCTCTTGCTTATTAGAGCTAAAGAGCGCCGCGGAACATCTTGTTTGTCGGCTCTACTTATTGATTTGCCTTCGTGCGTAAAACATTGGCACGCCCAGGAGGCAAAAACGTTTCTGTCACCTTATGACCGACGCCAGCAGGGTTCGAACCTGCGCCCTCAAAGAGGAACAGATATTGAGAGTTCAAATCTGTCGCCGTAACCACTTGGCTATAGCGCCGTCGAAGTCCTCGTTCCACAGCTCTGTCTGGATATGCAGAGAATATTTTGTTCGATTATCTCATGTTCCACCGAATTTTCGCGCACGAACGGTCCGGGTTACTGCTCAGTACTAGCGGCCATGATTAAAAGAGATTCGACGTGAGCGCGTGGGCGCCGAACTACACCTCTGCCGCGTCCAACACACGTGACAGCTTGACCTTCTGACCAGCTCACCAATCATCGGAAATCGATGAGACATGCCGCCGCTGCCGTACTCAAGCAGTTCCTATCTTCTCGACACAGGAGGACCTCCCAAATTCGCACTGTCATGAACTACTACCAGCCAAACAAGGAGAGAGACTACATTCCGTTGGCAGATCATGCGTTGTGAGTCTAGACCGCTTGAATGAGCTGAAATGACGTCGTTTACCTGTCGCATAAGGATTGGAAACCTGCGCACTGCTGCTCTCGTTTCTCTCGACGGATCGAGTAAGTGGTCCCGAACATCACTAGACCCAGCTCATCATCATCGCAGTCGAGAGTTACTGCGTCCCCAACTTTGACTCGCCCTCGATCTTTGCGCGCATTCTCGACAAGGACAAAGGCGGCCACTTTTCGATCACACCGACCGTGCCCTTTTCCGTCAAGCAAAACTACCTGCCCAGCTCCAATGTCCTGCAGACCAAGTTCATGAACGACCAGGGCGTCGCTTCCGTCACCGACTTTCTGCCGCGTCCCACCTCGTCTACCTCTGTTGCCATCCCAAACAAACCTCTGCTTCCATGGCTCATCCGTCGCGTCGAATGCATCCGTGGTACGATTCCCCTGCTGATGCAGTGTGCGCCCGCGTTCAACTACGCCCGCGACACACATACCACCGAGCTGGTGCTCGACACGTCCATCCCGCCGACGCACGACACGGAGCCGGGGACAGAACCGCAGAAGAAGATTGTGTTCACGAGCAGCAGCGACTTCGTCATTGACCTGCGGTACATCGCCGAGAGCACCGGCGAGGCCGCGTCTGTCCCCGTAGTTGAACTCGGCACGCTCGACCTCACGTCGAAAGGCCACAAGGGGCTCGCTGCGTACGCGTCTCTCCTGCTCACGGAGGGCCAGGCCGTCACATTCGTACTGCGCACCCCACCGGATGAGAAGGCGATCGTTGTCAGCCCCTCTAACGTCGACACCACACCGAAGATCCGTCCGCTGGGTGGCCCTGTTCGTTCTACGCAGGACCCGTTCTTGACCAAGGAGCTCTTGCATAGCCTTCTGTCGGTAGGTACACGTCCATTTTTATCATGGATTCACAACTCACCGTTCTACCATAGATAACTAACAAGTATTGGTACGATTGGATCCGCCAGTCCACTTACACTGGCTCGTGGAAGGAGGCTGTCCACCGCAGTGCTCTCGCGCTGAAGCTTCTCATCTTCGAGCCAACCGGCGCGGTCGTTGCCAGCCCAACGTTTTCGCTGCCTGAATTCATTGGTGGCACACGTAACTGGCATGTAGTTCCTTTGAATCCTTGAACTCTTTTTGACGTTGGTTTTATAGGGACTATCGGTATGCCTATCTCTTCACCGCGTTTTGACTTGCGCATATATCTCAATCCAGAGCTTCGTGGATCCGTGACTCCTCATTCACGCTCTACGCCCTCATTCGGCTCGGTTTCACACAGGAAGCAAATGGTACGCCTTCCCACCTCATCCCGCACAATCTAGCGAAGTTGAACAACACGCCCAGCGTACATGGAGTTCATCTTCGAGCGCCTGCGCAACAAGAACCCCGACGGCAGTCTGCAAATCATGTATACCATCCATGGTGCGTCCCCCCTGCCGTATCCGTATCCGTACCTGTATCGTGTGCATTACTCACGAAAAATGCAGGCGGTAAAGACCTCGAGGAGATCGAGCTGACACATCTTGACGGACACAAGGGCTCGAAGCCTGTGCGTATTGGGAACGGGGCTGCTGATCACATACAGCTGGTGAGTTAGCTTTATCTTCCTGTGTACGAGGCTAATGTTGTACAGGACATTTACGGCGAATTGTACTCGTCTTGACCTGAGTACTAGAAATTGAACTAACCTGTGCTTAGGATGGACTGTATCTACCTTGGCCAAAAAGTGCGGTATCATTATCTTTTTCGGTTTATGCTACTGACATCAATTATCTAGTTCGGAAAACCCCTCGTGAGTCGGTTCCTTTCACGTTTCAAGGTGGGCTGACGATGCGGCTAGGGCTACGATGACTGGTGCGTTCGCGGCTTGTGTATCTTAATGTCTATATTAACACCATTTACTCAACCAGGGTCCTTGTACGCGAACTGTGAGTGGCCTTTTATCCACCCCACGCGATCTTATAACCCAAACCCCCATCTCCCAGCGTGGATTGTAAGCATCCCCAGGCCTTTTCACACTAGGAAATTAATATTAACATTAACATCTCCCGCGCCCCCACGCAGTTGTTGTGGAGAACTGCAAAGAGCCGGATTTGTATGTATTTCCTCTTCGTTCCCCGTTCCCCCTCCCACCCCTCGGTTCCTCGGCGTGGCGTGGAAAGCTAAACACCCGTGCGTTCTAGATCGATATGGTCAGTGCAGTCGTCCGAGCTCCCGCTGTCGTCGCCGATCATAGACTGGGTTGTTTCTACTAGGGAAGTGCGCAATAAGAAGAGGCATTTTACGGTACGTCCAGGTTTGGCTTTGTGTTTATGTTTGCGTGCTTGGAGGGCTGATGGGGTGTGGCGGTTGTAGTACTCCAAGGCAGGTTTTTAGTTTATGGCTTGCGTGGGGTGTGGGTTGATGTTCAGTCCTATTTGCGCGTTTGGTGGTTATTAGATCATGCTATGGTGTGCCCCATCCAAACCCCTCTTCTGCTACACGGAAACTGAATCATTTCCAGGGTGGCCATCGACCGAGGTGCGCCCTGCCCAACCACCCTCACACGTCCCAACCCACTGACTAACCTAACCGATCCCGGTCGACCCACACCACAGGCCTGCGTCTCGCGGATAAACGCTCCCTCCCGTGCCCGAACCGCAACAAGTGGCTCGAGACGCGCGACTCGCTGTACGAGGAGATCATGCACCAGGCGTGGAACCCGCAGGGCCGCTTCTTCGGGCAGAGCTACGAGGAGACGGACGTGCTCGACTCGGCGGTGCTTATTATGCCGCTTGTGTTTTTTATGCATGCGGTGCGTCGCGTCTTGCCTTTGTTCCACTTCCCTGTGCTACCGTTAACGAGGGTTGCGTTTTGGGGGACAGTCGGATCCGAGGTTTGTTAGCACATTGAAGCAGATATTGAAGACGCCCGAGCGCGGGGGGCTCACTTCGAATGTAAGTTTTGTTATCGTTGTCCGTGTGCGTGCGTGTACTGATGGGGCTTGATGCAGAACTTGGTATACCGGTACGACGTACACAAGTCGGACGACGGCGTCGGCGGGGAGGAGGGGACGTTCTGCTTGTGTACCCTCTGGTGCGTCGATCCCTGGGCGTCTTCATGTGTATGTGTAGCATTTAACGTGATATGGATCTGTGGCATGCAGGTGTGTGGAGGCGCTCACGCGAGCAGGCGAGTATGACAAGTCGCTCTTACCGCGTGCGGTTTCGATGTTTGAGGTGCGTGGGGTGGAATCGTACGTTGATCATGGGTGATTGATGCTGAGGTGGTTGCGCAGGACTTTTTGCTCTATCTCAACCATGTTGGGCTGTGTACGGAGGAGATCTCCGAGGCGGGTGAAGCGTGCGTCCATCTACTTCGTGCAGTCATTTAGATTTGAACTTATCCGAATTCCTCCTTGATTACAGGCTCGGGAACGCGGTGCAGGGATTCACGTACGTTACGTTTGGTGTGCTTGTGCTCCCTGATCTGATTTTCTTCTTCACCAGCCACGTCACGCTCATTTCGGCCGCATATAACTTGTCCAGGACCATGTCGAGGATGCGCTAGATTACAATAACATGTGCATTTTGGAAAAAGAAAGCACTGGGGATTTTGGATCTTCGAAGCAACCCACTAATTGTATTACTATGACCTTGACAAAATTGACAGCTACTTGATATGTGGAACGCATGCGACGGAAGGAATGTT